TCACGCGGTCCTGCCCGCACCCCCAGGGCTGGCTCCGCCCCCGAACCAGAGTGGGCTCGGGTCTGAAGCAGCTTCCGGCCTGGCTCCTGTGATATGCAGTTTCCAGCATTCATTCCCAAACCTCCATAGCTAAAGGTGTTTCTTTTCTCTTTAATACAACGATCCCATGATTAAAAATGCCTTTTTGGGGGGGGTGCCCGGGTGGCTCAGTGGGTTAAGCATCCGACTTCGGCTCAGCTCGTGATCTCACGGTTCACGGGTTCCAGCCCCGCATCGGGCTCTGTGCTGACAGCTGGGAGCCTGGAGCCTGCTTCGGATCCTGTGTCTCCCTCTCTCTCTGTACCTCCCCTGCTCACGTTCTGTCTCTCTTTCAAAAAATAAATAAACATTTTTTAAAATGCCTTTTTTTAATTTAAAAAAAAATCTTTTTTTCAAATTCGTTTGTCGCTGCTGGGGAAAGTTTTCTTGTGAGAATTAGCTTCCCAAGGAGAAAGCTATCCTGCATTTAACAGAATTATGAACAACTACAGCAAGCCTTCCCAGAGTGTAAATGTTGGAAAAGCTTATTAGCCCGTTAGTGGACTTTGCTAGGCAACACAAAAAGGTCATTACTAATCTCTGTGTGGCTGTTGACAATTCAATGTGCAGTTCAGACAGGCTGCGAGCCGTTTCCCCTCAAGAGTGATACACACGCCACAGAAGTTTATTGCACACCTACTAGGTGCTAAGCCCAGGCCTCAAGAAGACATCACCGCATGGAACAGTAGGTGCAGATGAACAGCACGTTGGCCAGGTTCAGCCTGCAAACGTATTTTGTGTGACTCACACCATATCTATCAAAAAATTTGAATTTGTTGCCAACTTTTAAATATCAGAATATTTCCACCTTCTCTTGAAAACTCAGGAAACCTGGCAAAACCGAGCTCACATTCCTGGCTGATGGCAAGTAAAGTAACAACTGCCTGCTTCAGACGGCACTGGCTCTTGGTTCACACGGCCCCGCACCTGCCCTGCCTCCCTCTGACTTAACCTGCCTGGCGCCCCAACATTAGTGGGTATTTCTCAGGATACAGGGTCTCAGCACACCCACACGCAGGGACAGACCAACCCAAGACAGCTCCACAAGAACGGGTCACAGGGATTTTCTGATTTTGTGTCTTCTCAACTTTACCTCTTTTTATATTTTTTTAATGTTTATTTATTTTGAGAGAGAGAGAGAGAGAGAGCATGAAGGGGGGAGGGGCAGAGAGAGAGAATCCCAAGCATGCTCTGTGCTGTCAGCGGAGAGCCCCACGAGGGGCTCGAACCCACAAAACCGTGAGATTGTGACCTCGGAGCCGAGATCAAGAGTCGGATGCTTAACCGACTGAGCCACCCAGGCGCCCCAACTTTTCCTCTTTTTAATAAAGATTTTTTTTTTTAAATCCCTGGTAATGTAAAGTGAGGGGAGACATTCTGTTTTGAGTCTGGACCTACTGATTCCCTGCAGGCCGGTCAGGTTTGTCATATTTGAAGAGACGCTTCTGCTAATCCTGATGGTGTGCGTTGGGAGAAGTAGACTGTTTTGAGGTTTTCGAATTACGTATTGCCAAAAATCCTCCTTGTGTTTTTAACCAGAAATAAACGGGTTGATCCTACTATTTGTTGCCAGTGGAAGTTTTTACTAAAATCAATGTAATTCAGTTGGAACCAACACAAAGATGCTGACCAAAACGTTTCCACTGGGCAGATTAAAAGTACTTCCATGGGCCACTGCCTGGGACTTAGACATTTTGGGATATTTGTAATAAGCATATATGGCCATTCAGTAATACCGCAAACAAGGACTCCTCTGGTAACAAATTTAAATTAATCCAAAAGCCAGCTTTATGTGCAGCAGAAAGGAAGGGAAGAGAGCAGCGTTTGTAGAACAGAGACCATCCTATTTAGCCCCCACCAATCTGGCCAGGGACAGGGTTTCATACCTACTTTTACAGACAAGGACAGTGAGGCCAAGGAAACGGACTTCCGCGGCTGGTTTCCAATTGCTGGGAACTGGCTACACCTGGGTCATCCCCACCCCAAACCCTGAGCTTTGCCGGCTACGGCAGCTCACAGCACGGAGGCCACAGAGGTGAGCAAGGACCGAAGAAGTTGAGACGAGGACATATCCCAGCCAGGCTGGAGAACGTCAGAAGCACAGTAAGACAGGCAGATACAAGCGGTGCAGGGAAGGGTTGGCGGGTGGGGGGACAGGCTTCTGAGGGGCAGTGCCACTCGAGGAAGGCCTTGAAGGGTGCGCTGTGTCGCGACAGGCAGAGAGGAGCAAGAAGGCCTGAATGCTGAACCCTGGTGGGGATGGGGGAGTCCGCAGAAGAATGGAAGGTGAGCAGTCTAGGTGTGGAATTCAGCAAGCGAAGCTTCTTGCTACAGTTAGCCAACGGGAGAAAGCACGAATCTTCCCAGTACCTGTAAGGCAGGTGACCTCAGACCCACTAGGAAGGGCACCTAGGTGGCCAGAAGGCCAGGTATGTGTGTCCAGCCTCCGGAGAGGCAGCAGGGCCCTCGGGACACCCAGGAGCCCAGGGACCCACGCCTTCTTCCACATACGCCCCCGTTTGCTCCTTTCCTTCCTCTTCCCCCTCAGGGGTCTGCGCCTTTCGGAGCCAGAACCTGGCACCCTCTGTCCACCTGACAGCAACTTGCTTTTCCCGTTCATCTCCCGTCTTCTCCCCCCACCTGAGATCAAGGATGGGTTTTGTTTCCCCCCGCCCAAGGACTGACACCAGCAGCAAGGTAGGTAAAATAACAGGGCAGGATGGGGAAGCGGGGCACCCCCCCAGCCCAGCTTTTAGAGAATCTTTTAGGGAACTGAAATGGGAGAGGAGAGAAGGCCCGATCCCCCTCGGGTTCTGTGTCGTCCTGGTCAGGGCCCCGCTTCAGCAGCTGTGGGCCATCTCTGTGAGCAGCTTGGGGTGAAGCCTTCTCCACTCGGGCCCAGGAAGCCGGTTCTCCCAAAGGCTCCTCCCTCTCTGTCCCTGGGGGCCAAGCTCCTGTTTGGCGTTCCGGGACATTTCACTTCACTTTATCCTTAGCGCCCAATAGGAGAGGTCAAACTAGAATTCCATTTTACAGTGGAAGAACCGAGGCTCAGAGAGCAAAGTCACTTGTCCCGGGGCCGTGGTAAAGCCGGGGCTGTAACGCGCCGGGGCGCGGGAAGGCGGTGTTTCTTGGCTTCCTGGGCCCTCTGGGGACCCCGTCTCTCCACCTCCGGGCCACGCACCCTTCCTCTGATGTAAACTTTCAGTGGCTTGTGGCGCAGCCCTCTTCTTGAGTGGGACCCAGGCGCCCAGGAGTGGAAATGAGGGCGGCAGAATCATCCCCCGAGGCGAGGGAGCCAGAGGCTTCAGGCGTTGCGCCCGCCCCGGGAGAGGGCAAACACGGACACGTCTGGGTCTCCGCCGACAAGTGCCTTCAAGCCCAGCGGGGAGGGAGCGAACACCTCCGCGCCGGCCGCCGCGCCGGAATGCTCCGCCGTCTGCAGGCACGGCCAGCCTCAGCTGCCCACTGTGGACAGCCATGAACGTGACAGAGACGGAAGGAAGAGCTTCCCGGGCAGCGCAACTGACGGCCTCCCTGACCTCAGACGACGACGGCAGCCCGGCAGTGAGGGGAGGCAGGGCAGGCGGCGGGGGAGCACCAGGGCCTCCAGGGGCAGGCGATGCCAGACACTGCCGGTGCGCAACGGGCAGGGGCAGCCACTGCCCTCCCTTGCCAGCCGCGCAACCAGAACGCCAAGGGGAGCCTCCCGCCATGCAACCAGACCCCCATGACCGAAAAGCCCCTGGATGCAGCGGCGCCACTCGAGCCAGCGGGGAGGCGGGACATAGGGCAGACGGCCAGACGAGGACACTGCCAGCCTGGCCAACGGCGCGCCTGCTGCTGTCTCAGCCGAGAGAATGGCAGCTCCCTCCCCCCAGGCGCGGGGGGGCTTGGCCCCTCGACGCCTTGCTGGGGCAGGGGCGGCACCCGGGGTGGATGGGTGGAGGGGGGGCAGCGCCGCTCGACCGAACTCCGTCGGCCTGGCTACGGGACAGCAGAGGCCGCCCTCCCGAGAGGAACCACCATGACGGCGCGGCGGTAACCCGCCGGGGCGTCTCCAGGGGCGGGACCCGTGTCATCGCCCGATCCCCAGGAGCCTGAGGCGCGCGCAGCGAACGGGCGGGTTCCGGGCGGCCTGGGCGTCCGGGGCGCAGGGTCCCTTTGCCTGCCGCGAGCCCCAGGGGCGCCCGCCAGGACTCGGGGCAGGCGAGCGACCGCTGACGGCCCGAGCCTGCCCGCACGCGGCCCCTCGGCGCCCCGCCGCGGGCCAGCCGTTCGCCGCCTGCCGCCGGAACAGCCGCTGTTCGCCACGGAGCCCGTCTTCCTCCCCGGGTTTCTCGAGAGCAGGCGCGCGGGAACCTCGGGTCGGTGTGAGACGTGATGCAGGCCGGGGGCGCCCGATCTTTCATTGAGCCCGCAAGCCTGCGCGCCGCGCAGACGGGTCGCTCCGACAGCTCCGGGGACGCCATAACCAGGGCGCGGAGGGGGTGCGACCCGCCGGGCTGCAGGCGCGGCGAGGCCGGGGCCGCGAGCCAGCGGGCAAGGCCCGGGGCGGGACGGCTGCTTGATCCCTAAACCCCGCGGAGAGCACTGGTGCCCGCCCCCGAGCCGGGGCACCTCAGGCAGGTGGGGGGACTTAGCGCCAGGTCGCTCCAGGGGTGGGGGCACTTGCTTGCAGCACCTTCCCTTGCCTTATGAGGGCAGAGGGAAGGAAGGGAACGGGCAGGGGGCGCCACCTGCAATCCCTGCCCCCCTCAGGCGCCCCCGCCCCCGCCAGACCTAACCCGCCGCCAGCGCGCCCCTGGCTGCACGTCAGCCCCTACGGATTTGTCAGCCAGATGTGACAAGATTGCGGAGAGGCGAGGGAAGGAGGAGATCTGATGTTAATCAGTGCATAGCTCGGAGCCAAACTTTCTCAAATGCGGTGTAGAAACATGCTCTTCTCATTTAAGGCATCTCTTTGTGGCCGTGGGGCTGCCACCGGTCGCCGTTTGACAGTTAAATGGAATGCCAACTAGCAGCCTTAATTGTTGGAGTAAAATTTTGTGTGTGTGTGTGTTTGAAGAGTGGAGGGTGATGTCAGACACTCTAAGGTTCAGTTATGTCCCCCTAGGTTTATGGCCGTGTTCACCGCAGCTCTGCTGAAGACAGGGCATTTAAACCGGGCCAGACGCCTGGTCGCAGCCAGGCCTCTGCTGTTAACACTTAAGGGGCCTAAAAAAAGGCCCCAGTGGTATCCTGGGAATCCCTGTCAGTGAGTGTGAGTGTGTGCGTGTGTGCGTGTGTGTGTGCGTGTGCGTGCGCGCGCGCGCGTGCTGGGGAAAACATGTGTTCCTGCATGCTCTGGGCCCACACAGCAGATGTAGCAACAAATTTTTTGTTTTTTAATATATTCTCATCAGAGTGACAAAGATTTTTGATTTGACAGTAAGTGAATTGAAAAATAGTGTTGGGCAGATTATCTTTCTCCTTTTTTTCTGGTGCCTTTTCATTCTTTGCTTCTCGTTTTAATTTGCTGTTGGAGCTCATGGGATCTTTTCAGAAGATCCCTTAGACTCTTCGCTTGCACTTAGATGCTTACGTGTTAAAACTTCTGCTCAGTGATAAATACACCGGCTTCTCAAATTGTCCCTTCCCGAACACGTTGATATATATTATTAAAACCTCATTTAAAGTGTAATATGTCAAAATAAAATTTTCGGATGTCGTGTAAAAAAAAAAAACCACATTACTTCAAATGTTAGCAATTGGTCAGGATTCTGATTTTTGCTTTAAATGGGTGTGAACAGATAGACACCATTTTTGCTCTGGTAAATATTGTTGATAACTTTATCTTTTCCGGCGTACCTAAGAGAGTAACATGTGAGTCATCATTTGATTTTTTATCTGATAGGTTTGCTAACTTTAATTTCACCGAGAAATTATTACTATTTGAACTCAACTGTTGGTTGAACGTGTTCCTGTTCTAGTTCAATGCCTGGAAAAGGTGGTGAAATCTTCTCTGAGCTCAAGCGCGGCTCATGCTTTGGGAACTCATAATTATGTTCAGACACCTGCATAATTTCATTTGGAAAATCATCCGTACCTGTAAATGCTGTTCCATTCAGAATAGCAAGGATTTAGCTAGAGGCCCCTCCTCCAGTCAGAAAGTGGTAAGTTGGGAGGGGTTATTTGGCCCTTGATCCCTGCTAAGATGAGAAACAATCATGTTTGCTCTGGTAATAATTCACATCAGAAATGTTAACCAACATGAAATAATTCCTGTGGAAGCGTGAGGTTTGCATAGAGCGTTATTTTTATTTGTGTATTGAAGCGTGAGGTTTGCATAGAGCGTTATTTTTATTTGTGTATTGTTACAACTCTCTCGCGCAGCCGTTAGGCCGGCCTCGCAGGCCCATGTTCTGTGTCTGAGAACCCTCAGCTTGGAAAGGAGGATCCACCCCATTGGGTGAGAAAAGCCATAGAGATTTCCCTGCAGAACAAATCATAATTGTTCTTTAAGCATACTGTTATCATTTATGAATGCCTAGGGATAAACATAAACATCGTGAAAGTTCAGTTTGTCGGTAAGATTAAATTGCTGCATGTGGGGTGAGGGGCAGAAGTGTCTTTTAGCCTTTGTATATGGCTTTAGAAGCTATTTTGACAGTGGCCATTAAGCGAGTGCCTTGCCCTGAAGCTTCCGCAAGGTAAATTACTTGCAGGAGGAGGAAGCTTTACCCCCCGCCCCCCCGGGTGAGTTTTCACCTCTACAGATGGCATTTAGAGTTACTTTTGTCAGAAACAGCCCTGTTCAAGAAGACCTAGAAATACCCTAGGTTAGATGAAATCTCATTGCTGAGCCACACTTTTTTTTTTTTTTTTTGATAACTAAGACCAAGATTTAGAGAGCCAGTATATTTTTTAATTACCTTCCTCCAAATACCCTATTGCAGATTTTTATTGTAGTTATTTATTTATTTGCCTCTTTTATTTTTGATGCCGTATCTGTGAGATGTTAAAGATAACTGGGTTCTGCGCGGAAGAGACATCTGGAAAGTTTTGTGGGGTTGTTTTTTTTTTTTTTTTTCCTTTTAAATTGGTTTCCACCTGAAAACCTTATCTTCTGTTATCTTGTCATCCTTTGAAGCCCTTTCTCCTAATTCTGGAAATCCTAAGTTCCCGGTGTAGCCCCCTTTCTCTGCATGGACACGTGCCTATTTTTATCCCCGAAAACCAAAAACAGAAAACAGTGGATCAAAACAAAGAGCAGACCCGCTGTGCCATGCTCCGATCTGGGGCCTTCTCAAACTTGGGGTGTTGCAGGGAAAAGGGCCACCGCCATTCTCGTCCACGCCTGAACTCATTATTTGAAAACCAGCCTAGCAAATCATAGGAGAAGTTTGCCTTGGGGGGATGATCTCCCAGGGCTAGCTTGAGGGCAAAGAGAGACGGAGGGATAAAATGTTGTCAAGGCCAGCTCCAAACAACCTATGTGGAAGGAAATGACTGTCTCCGTGAAGGTAAACTTTTCATTCAGGCTACTTTGTCTTGCATCTGGTTGTGTGAGTTTGTCTCCTCTTACAGACTCTCCCTTGGAGGATCCTTCCATACACCCAAACAAACATCACAAGTAGTTTCTATCTCTGCGCCAGCCTCCAGAAGCACTGGCCTGGTTCCGTAGCCCTCTGATGGTTTCTCGCGTTACTCGTTATGAAGATAAAATTTTTATACGGACAACTCGAGCGCTTCGTGATTCTCCAGGCTGGATTTTAAGGCAGTGACAAGGACGGTAATTTGCAAACTCTGGCCTTTTCTTTTTCAAAATTTCATTTTGAAAAATCTAAGGTCGCTTTTTGTTTCTTTTTTTTTTTTTTTTTAACACTCAGTTCTGAAAATCGAGTTCTCGTTAAGCCCTGAAAAGAAGTGTCTGCAAAATTTTACTTAGAAATGTTCACCCTTTCATTGTTATCTTGCAATGGACGTGAAGTTGCAATGCTTGCAGAACTGGCTACGTTCGTTAAAATTATCCTGAAGTATAAATGTCCTTTTTCTGTGTTGGTTTTTGTGTGTTTTCCCCCAGAGCTGTCTCTTGCGTTCAAAAGTTCCCTACACCTATAACGTCCCTCTGTTTTTTGTTACCAAAGGTTTCTGAAGATTGCCTCTGAGGTCCTCCCAAATTTAGGTTATAAAGGGGGGGGAAATGTGTACATATCCTTTTATTTCCATATAGTTTGTTGTTGTTGTTAGGTGTGTTTTTTCTAATGAAGAAATAATTGGTTAGGTTCATAAAGTAACACTTGCATATCTTTCTACTTTTTATATTTTCTGTTTTCGGAACTAATAATTTTAAGAAAAAAGGGCACAGCTGTTAGATGATTTTGGCACAGAGTTTATACTTTGATTTAAAGAGATCAAAAGAACGAGTATTTTCCCCACCATCCTCTTTGAAGACGAGCAGCACGAGAAGGGGGCAAGGGTGTCGCGCGTGCTTTCTCCTCACAGGTAGACTTGGCCCAACATCTGTACCTGCTCCCTCCCAGCTGCCCCTTCCTCTGCCAGACCCTTCCAGACCCTTCTCCCAGCCCCGAGCCCCCCGGGATCTGTTCTTTTCATCCCCCTGCTTGCAGTGAGAAAGCAGATTCTGTCGGGTGGGTCTTCGGTGGGGGTTTTGTATTTGCAAATGATGCCTCCTGGTTTCTGAGGCTTCCCGGGTCCCTTTTTACAACTGCGCTCATGGGAAAGGGGGTGTCTCCTTGCGGCTGGGAATCCCGATGGCTCCATGAAGCCAACAGGCCTGGCTGCCGGTCTGGACAGCACACGCTCAGCTCACCTGCTGTTGCCTTT